CATCTTGTTTTAAGGATCTCTTTTCTCTCATTTAGGACTATTCTTTCCATTCACTCATTTGATGGCTTGACATAAGGAAATCGCTCCCCAAGCCTCCATTATTGGAGCTCTCAGACTTGCTGCAAGTTACAATGGAGCTGTGTGACTTGGCCTCTCTCCTGTTTGTTCCTACGTCCTGGTTGCTGCTCGACATCTTCTCTTAATCAGTAGGATAAGATTAGAACTTGGCAGCATTAGGAAGTTATTGACTTGAACTGGTCACTGCCAATGGCCAACTGGATTTGTGTATTATTGGGACAAACCTAACATCGTCTTAATAACTCTAATCGTATACCAGGCAGGAACAGAAAGCTCAGTCTGATAACTCCAGTTCTCTACAACACAGCTGCACATTTCAGACATACTGCTTACTTGTAAGCAAGCGTTCTAACTGAATGCTTACAGTTATGTCTGGAAATCATCAAATGTTTAAGCACAGGATCATATCATATTAGAATGTCTCAAAGCACTTCACCTCCTAAGCATAATGTAGTTAGTGTGTTCAGGCTGCAATGCTTTGTGTACAGTTATGTATTTTTATTAAAAAAAACTCAAATTTGCTTCACCCACTGAAGTAAAATCACAACCGTTGTGAACAAAGGCTGGATCTTTGTGAACAATAAATAGATCCTCCTCCATCACACACGCAAACCACCGGCTCCACAAAGTAACTGCATCAGCCCACAGTGGTTTGAAAGCAGTTTTCCGTTCACATCTGTGAACTGTCAGCAGTCTTAAAGTTACAGAGGAAATGGCAAGGTAAAGAGTTATGCAGTAGTTTCGACAAACAGTCAGTTATTCAATAAGATGGGCATTTCTTTTGTTGCTGTAGCCTTATGCACACTTGAACTGCAAAATAAAGGAGGTTTTACGTGGAACAACACACAAAAAAAAGTAATGTCATGAGTAGTGATATTTGCAGCATTTACCTCTGATCTACTGCGTTATTGGTGATCCAAGCTCTCCATTAATTCAAGTTCAATATATTACTGCATATCAAACATTTAATCATAGATTACAATTAGCCTTTTTGTATTCCATTTATTAATTCTTGGAAAATAATAAATGCAAATTCATATTAAGGCTAAAGGCTGGAGAAATGGTACAATTTATTTGCTGAATGGAGACTATAAGCTGAGTGTATTGTACATTCTATTCTGATAATAAATCATATTACATATCAAGCCTGGTTAATTCTATTCTTTCAGATTCTCCAATGCAAACATCTGCAGGAACAGCTGGATTGTCAACATCTAATCCAGTTCAAAATTGAAATGAAATGTTTGACAGTGACTGGAAGCAATGCGCTAATTGTCTTGTGGAAGTTCAATCAGCAATTATGGATTTTTCACCCACAAAATAGACAGTCAATATACTTTAGAGTATATTCTGTGAAGCACTTTGAGATACCTCAAAGGTGTGATAAGACGCTATATCAAATGCAAAGATTATTAGCATTATTTTACAAGAATTCAGAAAGAAATCTCTCAAACTGTAACCCATCTTCAGACCTATCTTTTCAACCACATTTGTGGTCATCTTTCCCCACCTTCTCAGCTTCCCTCACACCCCACCCCTAAACAAAAAAAACACCTGTGAGTTAGCTGTGTAATGTGTTTTGAGACTTCCTCCCAACCTGAAGGTGCTATTTATATCAATATAAATATTTACTGCAATCCAAATCTCTTCACAGGAAAATATTTCAAGTATGTTAAACATTTTCCAAAGCAGTTGAAATATTGCAGTAATTATAAAAGTCTGTTATTATAATAATACTGCAGTTTGTGTTGCGGATTTAGTGATAATGTATATTAATATTTTAGGATATTAAACCAATGACCTCTCTGCTTGTCCAGGTGGACGTTAAAGATCCCGTAGCACTGTTCGAAAAGAGAAGGGAGTTTTTCCTGGTGTTTCAGTCAACAATCCCCCAAATGCAACTGGTCGCTCACTCCATAACTTTTTGTGAGACATTGCTGTATGCAAATTAACTGCCACGTTCACCTACAAATATACAGTTACTACAGATTTACAGTATAACCTGTGAAGCGCTTTGAGACATCTCAATAACGTGATAAGGCACTATATTAAATTTATTTTATCAAGGGTCATTATCATCAATAATATTATACAGGACTAGTAAGACTACCGTTATTAAAATAGTGTGTCTTCTTAAATTTTCCCTTATCATGTAATGTTTTTTCTATTATACCATTTAGTTGGTGATTCTACTGATTAATTCCATATTTCTAATTTTTCCTCATCATAGTGAACTTGCTTTGTATTCTAAAGCTATGGTTTATGATGAATTTTGATCATTATGAACCTGCGTAGCCAAACCACATAAGACAGGATAGCGACAACACTTCTCCGTTAGCCTTTTCAGTTTCCTTGAAATTGATGAGATCAATTTACCAATACAAGTGGTCGGCTTTGATCTAATATTCTGTGTTTTTAATACATCAGACTGCCATCTGTCCCTTTACCTTGAGTCTCTATTATTACAAACATTTATAATGTTCTTTTAAAAATTATTCCACGCATTCTTGTCATTTAATGATCCATCTCCATTAGACTAATGTTTTAAATCCATTACAATATTTTTCATCACTGGGAATATGACCCCTTTGTTCCTGCTTAGGAAACAAAATAGCTCAAGGACAACAGCATGGGGACACTTTGCTCACTTTTTCTTAGAATGGGGGAAGAATTTAGTCAATGGTGGTCTCATTTATCATGAAATAACCAAAATCCTACAAGCAAAAGCATTAACGCATAAGGTAATCTTCTGTATAACAAATGTAATTAGAATCTATCCCACTGCAGAAAGTCCAGAAAAGGGAAGAGCACAAGATATAAAGGGCCTTAACCACGTAAACAGGATTTAATCTGTGTCTTCATACGGCTATTCACAAAGTGGTTCTATTGGCATCTCAATCTAAATCATTCTACCTTGCAGATAGAAGCGGTTCGATGGTGAAGACCAGTTGTAAAGGATGAAAACGAAGTTTGGCATCACCATTACATTACTTTTGTGAACACTGCAATGTGGAAAACATTCACGTAATTTGAACATTGCACAGCCATGCCGAGGTTTGAGAAAATGCTTTAGAAAGTACTGTACTGCAATGAGCTGACCTAATGACTCAGTTGTTAAAGTCGGTCTCTTGTTTGAATCTTAGTCTAGAGTGAGCTATGAATGTACCACAAATGGCTTGTCATTGTTCTTATCCTTTGAGTGCTCTTCTGCGAAATTATTTCCTCTGCATAGTTCTGAATAGCACACATTGGGCAACAAAAAGATTATTCTCGCTGCAAGTAGTACACGCTGAATAACTACACGATACAACTGTTATCAGAATCTCAATCGAGCCCAGCAAGAGCACTTTATAAATGTCACCAAAAATTGGAAAATACAGTGCAACAACAACAAATCACACTATACTTCCCGATGGAAAGATGTTCCAGGGCGCAACCTTCAATTCACTTTTTTTTAAATAATCGGAATGGAATTTTGCAGTTAAAATCTTTGCATTTGGCAAACGATATTTGTGGGTATTATAATAATAGTTTGTGGTATTGTTCCCTCAAGCTTGCAAGAACCGATTTGCAATCTATTACGGGGGAATTACTGACAGTACAAAGAATCACAGAATGTTTACAGAACATAGGAAGGCCGTTTAGTCTATCTTTCCGTCCATTCACTTTACAGTATACTCTGTGAAGCGCTAGAGACTTCGCGAAGATGTGATAAGGCGCTATGTCAAATGCAAGGATTATTATCTTGTTTGTCTTGACTCTCGCTGGAGCCACTTGCTCTAACCCCATGTTCTTTCTCCATATGCTGTCTTTTTTTTCTTTGAGTATTACCTACACTTTAAAGCGAGAGAGAGAGAGAGTGCAGTAACCATGAACATTTGCTAAATCACAAAAAATCCTTAGAATATAATATAATCAATACATCACACATTGGTGTGATGTATTGATTGCATTGATTGTCTAAATATGCTAAAGGCTTAGCATCATACTTTTGTTTTGAGAAACAGGTCAATTGTAAGGTAAGTGTTAACCACAACACTTTTGCTACCAGTATCACGACATTCTTTTATAAAACATAAGTTTTCATTTTATCTGACACGGCAATGTGGCTATTTCTTCTGCAGATCTGGATTAAAATGCCTAAAGTAGAAAATCATGTTTGCCAAATTCTGAAAGCAGCATAACTTTAACACTTAGTGTAGGAGATTGTTTAGCAAAATACTTTAGGATGTAGAATTTATGTATGTATAATGCATGGGAGACATTTATTTATTACTTTACTGATTTACTATGGAATCCCAGTGCATTCTGTCTGCAAGGCGTTTAAAAGAGATATAAAGGTGAATGGTTGATTTTCCCAAGCAACTCATTTTACCTTTTTGACCGTAAGAAATTGCCACTTTGTGTTATTTGTTTGAGCTGCTGATCAAGAGCAATTAAGCATAATTGACTGAAATATTTCAAAAAGGCATGACAGAGGAGAATTGCATTTCATTTCAGTTGGTGTTATAACGTAACATAGAATTAGTACAGTTTAACATTCCTAGATGCACTTGCAGTAACTGTAGAGTACATTTACATCTCAGAACAGTCTGAAAATTAAATTGTAAGCACACAGATAGAAAACCCCAATGCAGGTCACAACTCACAAGAGTTAACATCAAAAATGTACACAATGTTAAGCTGTTGGCAATGCATAAACCCACAAGGGAAAACAAGTCCCGTCTGCATGGAGACCCCTCTACAATCTGCATTACACACTCAAGACAAGAATAGTCCAAAGCTTTAGTGAGAGCTGTCAGATTAAAGATTTCTAACAGGTGCAAGCATAAAAAGGCAGGCTGTACGGTAGAGTGCATTGAGCCATTGCAATGTGTTATATATTTTTTTAAAAAATCATTTAGATTACAAAAGTCACTCACCCTGGTAGCTGCAAGGATTTGCTTGTGCACGAGAGTCTCATACAGAGGCTTTCAGAATGAGTATGCCTTATTACTCATGAAGACAGTTATATAACTGACACCATTTCAGCATTTCGTGTGGGCAATGAATATGCCAAGTGCTTTCCACCTTGGGTAATTTTCATCTCCCATCCCACGTAGAAACATACAACGTCTGTAGATTCTCTGGAGTCAGCGAGAGGTTTTCTTCTACGTGTTAATTAGACGGTCAACAAACTGTTTCAAAGAAAGTTCAGAGGTCCACCAGAGCTGGAGAAAGATAATGCCAGTGTGAGCCTGTACACTTGAGTGAGGTGGCATACCTATTCTGCTGAGACCAGCTTGGCCTAGATTTTACATACTGTAACTGGGTGACCACTCATGCAAATGGGAGATTTAGCATGCTGTTTTGCTGCTGTCAGAGCAGTAAGTTAATGTGCAGTCATATACTGCTGCAGGGGGGAAAAAAAAATCTCATTTGTTTTGCAATGAAAAGCTTTCCAAACCAATTTACAAATAAAATAGGAAGGTCTGACCTACAAGGGGCGGCGGGGGGGTGGGGGGGGAATCAACAGCTGCAAGTATCAGCTGTGTTTAAACCATTCAGCTCTTCTTCCCACTGGGAGAAGGTTTCACCGCAAATTTATGAATAAGTAAATCTGAGGAGTCTACTGAATGATCGTAATTCCTTCGACTTGAATATTCATTTTATCTTTCTGCTGCACAGGAGATGGTTTTATTGACATGCGTTTACGCCAACACGGCCTGTATTAGATTACCTGCCCCTACACATTTCTATTTTTTATAGCCTGACGACGGCTGAATCATGGTATTCCATTATGTACAGGAAGAAAATAATAATGCGACTTGGGTTCATAAAAATTAAGACCACAGCAAACACCACTGATAAGGACTGTGTGCTCTATCTCGCCTAGGTTGTTTCTAATAATGACACCACTTTCTCTCAATCGTCAAACTTTCATACAGATGAGGAAGTTACATAATTTAGATTAAACAGGAAACAAACATTGACAATAATTGGTTGCATTTCACCTCATCACTGGGTACCATCCTGGGTAGCCCTTAGATACTTTGGGCTTTCCTGGACCTCCAGTTGACAGATGGATACCCATGGACTGAGTAGCTTAATAGATCCTCCTCAGACAATACATTGTGGAATTGCTGTATTTCTTACTGTGATGGATACTGTAAGGGAAATTGCTCCCACAATTGCAACGCGACTCAAAGGGAAAAATGGTAGAATTTACGTAGTCTGTCGTAGGTTCTGCATTCAACAAATTTGAATCTTGGAAGTTGCAAGTCATGTAGCTAAAATTCCCTCTTTTTTCCTCTGCTCCTTTTGACAGGCTTTAAGGAACATCAGTTGTGAACCTGTGCGAATGGCAAACATGCCCAGGACCTTCCCTCCATAAACCAGGGTGATGGGATCCACTCTAATGTTCCTCCTACTCAGTGAACTCAGTAGAGATCAGGGATTGAATGTGGGATGTTCTGAGTGTGTGTGGCTTGGATTCACACTAGACACTGAGACATTGGGGCAGCTCATTGCATTATTTTCTAAACCTCATTTTTTTTAAAAAATCTCAGCATGGCTGTGCAAAGTAAGTGGATGTTAAAAACATGAGAGCATGCCCAAATATTATGGAATCTCTATGATTCCACATAGCTTTACAGCTGGTCTTCACCTTACAAATACATCTGTCCCAAAAAGGTGGGATTAGTAATAGCGAGATGCCAGTAAAATCATTTTGTGAACGGGTATTCGAAGACACAAAGTAAACACTGGTGACATGGTTAAGGACANTTTTTTTTCTTTCTCCAGTAAAATTCATCACCTTTATCCTGTGCTCTGTTCTGTGTCCAGGCTGAGAACTCACAGGACTATGTTATAGAACTAACCTGATCTACGAAGACTGAAATTGAGACCCCAACGGTGGCTGACATTCTTAGCTGAAAGCTCTCAAAACAATTTTCATGATTTAATTATACTGTGGATTGTCAGGCTCAGAGTGGCTGAAAATTCATCTGCTTTCTAATCACAAGGATGCCATACAGAAAGATTGGAGGAAAAAAGAATACATATCTGGACAATGGATCAAAAATTGTCTTGGGAATGTGTAAAGCCTTAGAATATTGAATTCAGCCTCAATATTATTACCTTTTGTAGATGGATCAAGTTCTTTTTCTTACAATGTTTTGATGACGAGAGTTTTCTTTGTTGTTAGAAATTCAATGCCAAAATAATTCTATGTCTTGAAAGAACAATTCTTGCACGAAGCCAAGAACATTCTGAACATTCGCAAGAATGAATAGATGACATGCAAGAGGGAAATATTTTTGCTTTAGTGACTTTACAAGAAAAAAAACATCTAGTATTAATACTGAGGATTCAGTGCTGCTCTTTTGTAATAAGACAATTAAAAAACATACATTTGCATTTCATATCCTGTTATGATTAAGTGTTTGAAATGGTCTATTTCTTACTGACAGTCAAGCTTGTGCACAAGGGAGCATTGGCTTCATAATTGGCTGACATTTTATACCAGGTATTTATCACATAATAAAAATCCAACACCAAAGAGGTAGAACCTCTGACTCATTCTGCCAATAAGGCCCTCTTGTCTCCATGTGGCCTCTTGGGATAGTAATCTGAAACAGGCCAAAGCATTCCCATGACTGTCTATAAAGCCAATTGCTCCACAATCCGTTGGTGGATTGTTTTAGTACTCCAAGGAGAGCATCATTATTGAGTAAGCCAAAAAAAATGGGTTCAGTAACAGAAATTTATGAGTGCTTTACTGAAGTAGTATTTCAACACTTCCATTACCTAGTTTAACATAGAGCATTTCATCTAGAGTTGACATCTTTCCTAATAACATTCCAAGGCAGTACTGGGGGGAGTGTTGCGTTGTTGGAGGTGCTGTTCTTCAGATGAGACATTGAACCAAGGTCTCATCTGCCTGTTCAGGTGGTTGTTAAAAATCCCACAGCACTATTGGAAAAGAGAAGGGAGTTTCTCCTGGTGTCATGGCCAACAATCCCCCAAAATAAAATAAAAAATGTGGTCAATCATTTCAGGCTGTTTGTGGGACATTGCTCTGAGCAATTGTGCTGCCACATTTGCCTACAAATAGTTGCTCCATTTCACAGTAATTCTAATGAAGCACTTTGAGACATCCTTCCAACATGATAAGGCGCGATAACCAAATGCAAAGATTATTATCATTATTATTGCTTGTATGCCATATTGCCATTACTTGTATTGTTAGTTATTTTGTGGTGAGTTGCTCAAGAAAGAAAACATTTCTCAGGCTAGTTTTAACCAACAGTAGCTTTGAAACAATGGGGAGTCAAAGAGAAACCTTAAACTTAAAAATGCCACATACTGAAACAGTTTTAACTGTGACAAATCCACAAATAAAATTCTTCCAGTTATTTCCCAGTGTATTACACTATCAATCCCCAAACCCCAAATTGAATTGTTTTTTTCCCTCTATTGTGGCATATGCTGAGCAGATGTGGCAATTTTTACTCAATTGTAAAAAAAATGTTTACCAAAAAAGTAGACAAACATTAATTAGTTGCAGGAATCCTCTAACTACTGCCATCATTAGTTCTGCCTCCTTCTGGCAATTGTGATATTAAATTGACAGTTATTCATTTCCCCTTCATTTAGAAAGCGGGCATAGAAACATCTCAACACAGTGTGTCTCATTTTATGTTCAACAAATTATTCAGCACATCTCAAATCATCTAACCACTGCATCAGGGAGGAGTGTTTAGAGCTGAACATTAAAATAAATGACACACAAAGTATCAAAGTGATTGTATTGTGAAATGCACCCAAACAGTAAAAGGTAAATGAATACAACAGAGAAGGGAGGGCACTTTGAACAGTTGCAAGAGAGGTTCAAATGAAGAATGCTCTTTGACTCATTCGATCTTGTTCTTCCAGAATACCAACCTGACCATATTTCCATTGCAGCATCAGGCCACTTATTTCAATAAATCCACTGCTCTGGCATCAACCACCTTGCGTTGGCAATCCGTCCCAGCCATTTATCACCTCGTGTGTAGAAAGTCATTTTTTTTCTTTTAATTAAAACTGGTCAGCACTGGGGGAGCCCATGAGCATTTTTACGAGTTTCAGGTGAATATATTCTTGGCCCCAAGTTCCAGCAATCAGCAGTAATTATTTACTGATTTGCAGTCCTTATTGTGTCTTTCACACTTCTGCTCAGTGTTGGAGAGGGAGTCTGAGAAGAGAGAGATCTCGAAACAAGGATACAACAACAACAACAAGATTACATTTGTATAGCGCCTTTCATGTAGGGAGGGTGTACCAAGGCGCTGGACAGTGTACAGCATTTCAGACCCGAGCTGGGGTCAGGGAGGGAAGGGGGGGGTTGGCTGATGGCATGGTTGAAGAGGAGGGTTTTGAGGTGGGACTTGAAGGAGACTAAGGAGGGGGCGAGGCGGAGCACTGGGGGATGGAATTCCAGAGGTTGGGGGCAGAGTGACTGAAGGCTCTCCCGCCAATGGTGGGGCGGGTGGTTCAGGGGACGTGGAGCAGCCAGAGCCGGCTGAGCGGAGGGAGCGGGCGGGTTGGTAGGGGATTAGGAGGTCGCAGAGGTAGGATGGGGTGAGGCCATGGAGGAACTTTGTATGTGAAGACCAGGATCTTGAACTGGATCCTCTGAAGGATAGGGAGCCAATGGAGTCGGGCGAGAGTGGGGAGATGGGGTCATGGAGTTCGGTGCGTGAGGGGACATGGGCTGCAGAATTCTGGATTATCTGCCAGCCTGTGGAGGGAGGAGTTGGGAAGGCGAACAAGCAGGGCGTTTGCATAGTCGAGCCTGGAGGTGATGAAGGCATGAACGCGAGTTTCAGCGGCCTGAGGGGTGAGGTAGTGGCGGAGTCGGGCGATGTTACAGAGTTGAGGGAAGGCAGAGCGGGTCATGGCTTGAATGTGGGAAAGAAAACAGTTGCGGGTCGAATAAGACACCTAGGTTCCTGACTGGCTTGGTGAGTTGTAGTGTGCAACCATGGAGGTTGATGTTGCCAGAACCTGAGGTGCTGAGGCACTGGCGCGAGCCAATCAGGAGGGCCTCAGTCTTGTTCACATTCAACTGTAGGAAATTTGCCCTAATCCAGGACTTGATGTCTGACAGACAGTGGTCCTGGATTAAGGGTGGAGGCAGAAAGATAGAGTTGGGTGTCATCCGCATACATGTGGAAGTTGACCCCATGTCTGTGGATGATGTCACCGAGCATGTAGATATTAAAGAGAAAGCCAATATTAAAATGCGGTTAATTTTTTCAACAGCAATTACAATAACTTGCATTTATATTGCGCTCCCTCACGCAGGATAGCGCCCTAGAGCGCTTGATGGCAGAGCACGATGCCGAGCCGGGGGCAGGAGGGGTTGACATGGTCGAAGAGGAAGGTCTTCAGGCGCTGAAGATGGGGAACAAGGGGGCAAGATAGAGGAAGAGTGTTCCAGAGTTTTGGGGTGAAGTGATCACTGATGGTTTCGAACCTTGGAACCAGACATTGAATGCTTATGTATAAAGTTGCTATGGAACCATAATAATAATAATAATCCTTGCATTTGATATAGCGCTTTTCACATCGGGAGGACGTCCCAAAGCGCTTCACAGAGTACACTGTAAAGTGAATTGACTGTATATTTGTGGGCAAACGCGGCAGCCAATTGCGCACAGCAATGTCCCACAAACAGTCGTAGATTTGAAAATGACCAATTTATTATTGTTTTTAGTTTTGGAGGGATTATTATTAGGCTCTGTGTGGAGTAAGGAAACTTGCCCAAGGTTTCGCCCTCTGCCTGGAATTGAACTCAGGTCTCTCACTTGCAAAGCGAGTGCTCGAACCACTGAGCCACAGGACTCCAAACCGTAACACTCTCCAGATTAGAGAGCGGGTTTCAGACACAAATGAGAATTTGGAATGAGTTGGCGGAAATTGTGCCACTGTGTTTTGGTTTATCATTTTGTTTCAATACATCTGATTCTACAGAAATGTATTTCCCTTAACGCCTCTGACTGGTAACCTTAAACAACAAACAATCAAACACAATGACAAGTATGATTAAGAGATTGCAATGAATGTGCAGGCACCTCACTTTCAAGCGTTTATGCAAGTGATTCAGTAAATAATGTGTGACCCTTGGAGACCAATGTAACTTCTTGTTCTGTAATAAAGAGTGACCAGCTTGAATAAGCAGAATTTCCAAGCAGTCGAGCACTATTTGTACTGAGAATTGGCTCCCCAATTTGAACGTGCAATCCCGAACCACTCAATTTATTGTGCAATCAGCCGCCAGTCTGGATCCAATGCTGGATTCTACAGATTGAACACACTCATCATTCCGGTGTATTTGTTGAGTCTGCAGCTGTTATTTGTTTCTACGTGTGCACATACTACTGCCAACTCACATTACTCTGGACAGAATTGCAAGTATCCATCCAGCCTGCTGAAGTGTCAACAGAAATCTGTCTCTTAACATTACTATAAGGGGTAGTAAATCTTTGGCATGGAATGCAGTGAAACCCATATTAAATTACAGTGAATTTCAAACAATTGCTGGTCATTAGTACAAAACATGGAATATTTTGTACAAAATACTTTACAGTAATTCATGTGAATCACTTGGGTCGCCCTCCTGCTATGAAAGGTGCTGTATAAATTGCAAGGATTGTTATTATTTTTCATTCCACAGCTGTTTGTGGGACATTGGTGCGTGTAAGCGTGCCGCCATGTGTGTCTACAAATACACAGTCACTGCACTTGAAAGCAATTGCCTGTGAAGTGCTTGAGGCATTTCAATACTATACATGCGGTAAATAAATTATTATATCGCAGTAATTATTGGATTAACCTTAAGTCAAAAGTCCCCGCTGGACATATTGGGTTAAATTAATTTGACTGCAACGGTCATTTTATAGGCAGCAGAGTAACATCATCATAACATCTCGCTGAATCACACAGAAAGTATTTGATGGCTGAGTTCCAGTGTTCCGCACACAAATATAACAGTGTGTAGCATAGTTTCCTTTGCATGGTTAAACATGTCAAAGATTTCTTGCATTGCAGCTAGTTGACACACTGAGGATGTGTTTGAGCCCTTCACGTGAAAGGTCAAATGAATGGTACAGACTGCAGTCAGGTTCTCCATAACCAAACTGGAACTGGAAAAAACATTATTAAACTTCACTGATTCTTCTTTTTACTTCTGTTTCACAATATTCATTCGCCTGCAACCATACAGTCATTACACTTTAAAGCATATCCTGTGAAAATGCTTTGAGATGTCCTTCCAACATGAAACGGTACTACATCAAAAGTAAGGACTATTCATTATATAGCTCATCTGAACTCTTTCACAAGTAAAGTTGAACAGAGTAAAAATCTAATCCTGTAATTCTTCAAACGGTTGAATTGGAATATCAAGAGTTTTCAAGGCTGATTATCACTTGAATCAATTTCAGTGGGTACATTCCTATTCAGACCAATAGATGGAGTGCCACACACACACATGATCTTTCAGAGTAGTTTTTGATACTGTTCATCTCCCACAGAGTGAATCGCATTCATGTTAAATCACAAATAAGTATTGATGGTGATCAGAGAATTTTGGTAGCACAATATTCTCCTAACTGGAAAATATGTGACACTGAACTATAGGATGGTAAAAGGATTATAAATTGAATCAAATAAGTAGAAATCTACATTTAAATAGACAAATTGCATTAGTTTTACATTTCAATAAAGTTTTGTATATATGTTTACATATCCATATTTGAAGTTATTTTGTAAATTAATCCTTGCATTTGATAGAGTGCCCATAAAGTTGAGAACTTGTAGTTTCTTTACAGTGTAGTGACTGTATTTGCAGGCAAGTGCAGTAGCCAATTTAGGCACTGCTTTATCCCACAAATGGCCATGAAGTGAATAACCAATGTTATCTGAAGAACATCAAATATGGACATGTGTAAATAGCTACAGTTACTTAGTTTCTCCCGGAGACCACAAGTCCAGGGAAACTTTTCTTTTCAAGTAGTGCCATGGGATCTTTAACGTCCACCTAGCCAGGTAGACAGGATTTAACATCCCATCCAAAATGACAGCACCTCTGACAATACCATGCTTTCCCCAAAGGCTTGCCACAGGACTTGAACCCACAACCTTCCTGACCAGAAGCAAGAGTGCTACCCACCTGAACCACATTGGCATATTTTCAAAATACAATTTGTGAGAAAACACTTGCTGTCACTGGCAACTTTAATTCTTAATCAAGATAAACTCTATTTTTTGAACGATAATTTGCCATTCCAGCTTAATTGCTGTGACTGCTATTTAAATTGAACATAATTATAGGTTTTATCTTTTCTTGTTCGTTGTGGAGCAGTGTTTTACCACAAGGTGTCATTGAGGAGCCTTTTCAATACAATTTAACATTTAAGATTTCAGATGGTTCTAATTTTTTTTTGAGCTGCTAGCATAGTGATTTGTTATTTATCTTGTAATGTAATTTCCAAACGTTGGTGTTTATCCCAATAATTCATGTATTACGATAGCTTTATAAAGCTTCTTGAGTTTATAGTAAGGTTCATTCTCCAGCCAAAGCAAACATTGGAATTTGCTTGAAATGCCCTCAGTATTACAAGCAAGGTTGCTAATGCACTGCAATCATCATTTATAAAGGCAAAGCATTCAAAATAGTGATGTTAGATGCTTATACCTTAAAAGTCATGCACGCACAAAAAGCCATTCAATTCACAGCCTTTCAGTATGTCGTGTGTAGAAAAAAAGCTATACATCTTATTCATTCCTGCCCAGGCTCTGCAAGCTATTAACTTGCTAGTCATTTCCTTCCTCTTCTCAAGGACAATGAGCTCCTCAGTCCACAATACAAATTGAAATTATTGTATGGAAGATTTTAATAGATTTATCCATGTTATCTTTGACTGGAGCAAATGCTAACCATGGTATGTCAAAAAAAAAATTCCATGCTCTCAATGGAAAAGCTGAATTGAGATTCTGAAAAGATTAGTAAAACTTTCTTCCGTCGTTTGCAACTTTCCAAGGTTTGGAAATATCTGTTTCTACTTTCTTCCTCATTATCATTGTCTGCCTCATGCACTGTAGAGCCATATTTTTACTGCCCTGGATTTATACTGCTCATTACACTCCTATTTATCCTCCTATAGGACCAAGTGATTTTAAGCAACGCGTGCTCCCATCTCCCCGAGTACTTATAAATTCCGAATTGTGAAACGGGTCACAATAAAGATCATTTATCAGTTCGGTGCAAACATTTCAAGCTTTCCCAAGTCTTCCATAAGTTTCTTACCATAGTTTTGCAATAATTTGCACTGCTGATTATCCTAATTTTTGGCTTTAGCAGGAGGCCATAATGAGAATGGTATGGACCTCATTGTGCACATCTGGAAGGGTTTTTTGGGAGCAGGAATCTTTCTGAATATGTTCTGTAAAGTAAAATCTCTTGCAAGAATGTAGTCGTTGAGAACATGGATATGACAACATAAGGCACTGCTTCAATAATTCTGACACAATATGGGAGTAGAACCTGTAAGAGCAGGTTGGATACAGATATTAAATTATGGAAGAAAAAATGTTTTTGTAAGATGAAAAAAGGAGAACTTTTGATCTGATTGCTTTGTTCTGGCCTGTTAAAAACATGCTTGGTTTCAATTCCTGAAATCGCAGTACAGACTTGGGAGAACAAAAAAGGCATTACAGTACAAATAATTTTATCACATGGTAAAGGACTCAATTGCAACATAACTTACATCAGTCAACTGTTCACAGTTCATTTTTACAAAAGCTGGAGCCAGGAAACCAGTCTAAGTGATCATCCAAGAATACCATTTCAGAAGAATAGAATGAACATAATTGCAGAATTGTTGTTTGTCAAACAGATTTGTTATACAATGATACTTCAACAATATACTGAGTTTTGGAGGAGGGAAAAGAGAAAGGAAGGGTACTAACAAGAGTACTATGTAGTTGTGCAAAATTATAATTAAGGGTGACCCTTAACTCAACTAGAAGCTTTAAACTTTAAAATGTCCTGCATAATTCTTAGTTTCACACACATGTTGCTGATATTCCCTTCCAGCCTGTATAAGATAAAACCAAATGAGTTTTTTTTAAATGAAGTCTAGCACTGATCATTTCTTACTGTTGTGACCAATTTACATACCAGCTTTCATTACACTATCCTAAAAAGGTACATTTCATAGACTCTCAAATTCATATTTTGTTCACATTTACACATGAAAGTTATACATGAGAACATAAAGGTAAACATTGCGTTAAATATAAAGACATTCAATTCAGCACTCAACTTATTTTAAAGGGAATGAATCGCCTTCCGGGGAAAGATCTTGCAAGTTGGTATACTTCCAAATTGATCTTGAGCATGCCATGGAATCTAACTGAATCCATTCAAATCTTCACAACAAGGTTTCAAAATGTTTCAAGAGATGCAAATATGTTTGAAACAGAAGTCACCAAAACAACAGAAGTCTATGGCTAGGTTGGATACCGCTGAATTCTCGCCATATGTTAGTGGCTTGGAAACTTTTCTCTACAATATCACACTGCCCCATGTTGAACGGTCACGTTTATAAGGAAACCAAAAGATTAACAGTTGGATACATTTTACTGGTTCTAAGGCAATCATACGATCGGAAGATAGAAACATTACTCCTGATTAGACCCTGACCTCAAATGCTAACTCCACCACTAAGATGGTCAGACATGCATCTTTGGAGTCCAGAAACTATTTTGTATAATCCATAAAACAATGGTCGACTATCTTCACATTAGAAGCACCGCCTACAAATACTACGTTAAGCAGAAATTGAAGACCATGCAAGCCTTATGATTTTTATAATGCAACAACTGGACTAAGATCTATCAGGTTGACAAAATTAATGATCATCCAAACGTATCGAACATTGACAGATACAAATCGAAAATGCATAAATATTTCCGCAAACCTTTTTTGAAGGAAATTCAAAATAAGAAATGTTTTACTATAATGTATGTCTACGTTTATTGGTGATTGGGGCCAATTATGATTTAATATTAAAACCAATAAATGTAGACATCTTAGCCGTATACCTAACATGTAAAATATTTAGTGTTACATTCTCCTCAAAGCAATATTGAACACAGGGACTTTTTTTTTGTGAAGCAGATCTTAGTTCTGGTAATACTGAAGCTTCCATTTTCTGAACTTTTGTTTCAATAGACTACCAAACTTTAAAAGAAAAAAAACTCAAATGGGTTTATCTGTAGTCTTTTCAGCGAATCTGCAGTTTTCCGTGAATCTTCTTGGATTTTATTCCCCAGAACTGAATTTATGGTGGCAGAATTCACATCCTTCACAAGTCACGTTTAATCCTGCTTCCCTTCACGCCACTGCTTTGAGCCTTCATTCCATGCCACATAAACAAATAAGGCAAGAACCACATGAACAGCCACAACAGCAACTATAGCAGCATAGAAGTAGCTGTCTTTGTCTGACAACCCAAATGTACCTGAGGTGGGCAAAAGAACAGAGTAAGTAAAGCCTAAGCACAATAATATTTTTAAGACCATGAACTGTCAAATTACTTTTGAATGCAAAGCCTCAAGTTTATGTTTTGAGGAAAAGGGGAAAATGAGAACAAATGGTGGTTATTAGAAAGATGGGCGTGGGGGAAGAGAACATTTTATTCAAATCTGCTATGTTGATCCGGCATTATATTAGTCTGCATTTTGGACTATGGACAGAGGCAAACCTAATTTGCTTTAAAAATGTAGCCAATAGATTCCCACTCTGCTTGCTTTACAAAAACTATGGAGCATACCATCTGCACTTGTGGTTATATCACGTTTCGCAATTAAACAATTCCAAATTCTTTGTTTCTCAGTCTGCTCTTTGTCTCTCAATTCCATTATTCCCTGGACTGCCTAACGACACTGCTGTGTTTTTTCCCCACTTCACTGCAAAGAAATGTTATTTGGAGGCTGTCCATCATGTGTAAGATCAATATAATAATCTATTAATAGATCAACAATATTATTATAGACATGTCTTTTATACTGTAAAGGCTGGAATAGACCTGAATAGTATTCCCTAGCTTCTTTTGGGAAAATGAACTGGTTTTGAATTGAGCACAGAAAACAGCTGCAGAACGGAGATTTCCAATCGTGTAAATAGCAATATAATGCCAGATCAACATACCTTTTATGCTTAGTTACAACTTTCACTGCAAAGAGGCAGGCTTGACCTGGCGTTTTTAACTCATTACTGTTATGTCAATAGAAAGTGAAGCACTTTTGCACCAAACAAACCATACCGAAATAAAATTACCTTCAAACACATAAGACTTTGTTCCAAAGTAGAGACCAATTGGTAAAGTGATCATCAGGAATGTGAAAAAGAGAAGTGTCTTCAGGACTGACAATAACGAGCCGTCATTTCTGGAAGAGCAATCAAACGAAAAGAGTTAGTTGTCTGTTTTAGAAAAGGGTGTACTTTTTTTGGGTGGGGGTGTCAGTTGGGTGTCTTGACACATGCAAGTAGGGGTGGGGGGGGGGGAGACTACAGCAGACTCCGGCCTGTTCCATGTCTCCCGCCCGACCATCGGTGGCCGGGCTTTCCGCCCCTCTGCCCCCACACTCTGGAACTCCATCCCCCGGTCCCTTGGCCTCGCTTCCTCCCTCGCCTCCTTCAAGGCCGGTCTGTCTCGAGGACCCTTTTCTGCGACCGTGCCTTCGGTCGCCCTCCCACCTTCTCTGCCTTCCCTCACCCCTACACCACCCCTCCCCCCCCCTACCCTCACCCCTCCCCTCACCCCTCCCCCAGGGCTCGGGTCCTGGAACCCCTGACTGTTCAGCCCTTTGGGACGTCCTCCCGACGTGAAAGGCGCTCTGTACATGTCATGTTGTTGTAGTAGTAATAGAGCCGCCAACCGCGCGATCACAGAGGCCAAAGGGCAGGTGTGTCTGAGCCCCTCACCCCCCCGCTGCCCCTCACCCCCCCCCCCCCCCCCCGCTGCCCCTCACCCCCTCCCCCACTCACCCGTTAAAGTCCGGGACCGGAGCCCCGACCATCATCGTCTTGTCCAACCGCTCCATGTCCCAGCTTCCTCCACCCACCAGGTCTCAGCCACTTCCGCTTCCGCCCGCCTCGGCCACGTGATCCACGTGATCCGTGTGTGTGTGTGTGTGTGCGGAGGGGGCGGGGCAGGGTGGCCGGTCACGTGCCGCTGCTCACACACAGCCCTGTCACTCACACACAGCCCTGTCACTCACACAGGGGGGGCGGGGCGTGTGCAGGTCTGGCTCCGCCCCCTGCCTGCCCATCATCACAACATGATGATAATAATAATAATAATAATAACTTATGATTATTTAATGACTGCTTAGTTACTGATAACAATCCTCGCGCGCGAATAAAGCGCCTTCGTGAAAGGCACCACGCGCATCTTTTCTTTGTCGGTGGGGGTTGGGGGGGGGGGGGTTGGTTCTGTTGGCCGCGTCTCCGAGACGTCTCGCGAGCGCTTCAAGGAATATATACGGTAGCGACCGGATAGCTTGTGGGCGAAACGCGGCAGCCAGTCGCGCACGGTGGTCGCCCGCCAACGGTCGTGGATTGAAGCGACCGATTTATTTTACACACACACACACAGTGTATGTATTCCGTGAAGCGCTCGGAGACGTCCCAAAGACGTGACAAGGCGCTACGTCGAATGCAAGGATTATTATTATAACTAGTCCGTGCCACACGCCGGCCGCGTGCCACAATGGACTCGGTCTTCACCACGTCAGGGCACTCTACATCCCAACCTCTTTTTGGGTGAAAAATTCCTGCTAAGTTCTCCTTCCGCTGTTCTTGTGGCTATCTTGTAACTATGTCCCCAAGTCACTGCCTCCTCTGTCAATGGAAACGACATTTTCCTATTTACCCTGACAAAATGCCTCATAGTTGTATACACCTGTATTAATTTCCCCCACTCAACCGTCTCTGAACTGCTCCAAGGACAGAGTAAATCTGGACCCAACTAGAAATTTCCCCTCCAAATCCTTAAGTAGGAATAGTTATTTTCAAAACTCTCTAGAGATGTTAAAATGTCATGCTTCATAACAGATCTTATGTGAATAACTGAATCTGTTGTGTAACATTTTCACCCCATAAATTTGGTCCTTCAACATTTAAGGGAATAATTAACTGAGTATGCAGTTTATTAATCGTTGCAGTCTTTGTCCCTTATTTCAGTCAATGAGTGGAACTTGAGGTATGAATATGGAAACAATATATGCCTGAAACTGACATCTGCTGTAAAAACCTCAGTTCTTCGATTCCCATCAGGTATTATAAACTATTAAAAAATTTAAAAATAATAAATCTGACATTTTAGGCAGTATAGGTTTGCTGTGTCATTGCATTTTTCAACTTACAGTATTTTTTTGACCCATTCTTTTATTTGAATAATTATAATTATTAATAATAGCACTGATAAGGCTTTCAAAATGGAACACTTCTTGGGACAGAGAAACATTAGATTGAATTTTTTCTGTTAAGAGCGATTTGCCAAGTTCAGCTCAAAAAACAAACAGGTGCGGTATTTGCATTCAGCAACGCATCTTAGTTCGACCAGCTTGATACGTGGTGGCTTATGAAGCAGCCCTTGTCAGTTTGATTGATGGCACTCTCACCATTATTAATTCAAGATTGAATTAATTTCACATCAATTACTTGAAGTCATCTGACCTCAATCGCAACAGAGCCCTCAGGATGTTAAGGTACATCCTGATGCTCCGCAGGTTTACTGGAGTGCGACGGAAACATGAATAGGCTTTCACCTTTGTGCCACATAAGTGCTACAGAAGGAGATTCCCCATGAATTAAGTCAACTTCACCCAAATTCACCCATGCAAGCGAGAGACCTGGGTTCCATTCCCGGCAAGTTTCCTTACTCCACACATGATAATAATCCCTCAAAAAAAAACAATAATAAATTGGTCATTTCAATCCACGACTGTTTGTGGGACACTGCTGTGCGCAATTGGCTGCCGCATTTCGCCCACAAATATACAGTCAATTCACTTGACAATCTATTCTGTGAAGCGCTTTGAGACGTCTAGAATACGTGAAAAAGCGTTATATCAAATGCAAGGATTATTATTATTATTGTCAGGAAGAAAACTTATGCAGAAATCAGAAGAAACTCAGAAAAATGAATTTAATAAATGGTGCTGTAAAACAAAACCTGATGAATAGTCACATATCAATGCAAAATTCTTCAATTGTGCTTTCAGACATCATTTTGAAGATGTAAAGCCTAAGCAGTGGAATATTGGACCTCCCTCCCTCCTGCCCCCCAACCCCCCAACCCCCCGCCACCCCAAAATCCAAGAAGGACTCCTACTCTTGACAGTCATTTAAATATGTTGCAAATATAGGACTAAAATGTTCAATGTAAAATGTATTATCATTTGTCCACAAGATACACAGTTACTCCACTTTGCAGTATATCTTGTGAAGCACTTTGAGACATCCTTGTGGGGTTTTGTAGCTCAGTGGTTAGAGCACTCGGCTCACAAATGAGAGATCTGGGTTTGATTCCCGGCAGGGAGAAATGCTGGGCAAGTTTCCTTACTCCCCACGACTCAGTTTACCTAGCAGTAAGTAGGAAACCGGTTGTTAGTCGATTGACGGATCGGTTTTCCGGGGATAATAATGTCTTTAAAAAAAAAAATGAATTGGTCACTTCAGTCCACAACGGTTTGTGGAACACTGCTGCATGTAATTGGCTACTGCGTTTCGCCCACAAAATATAGTGTCATTTCACTTTACAGAATATTCTGTGAAGCGCTCTGATACGTCTCGACGATGTGATAAAACACTATATCAAATGCAAGGATTATTATTATTATTGCTACCCTCCTGATGTGAAAAGCGCTACATCATCATTGAATTGCATTGGAAAAACTGTGCCTCTATCGCGAGGGGAGGGGTAATGACTAAAACATTACTGTGGCACAATGTTAAGCTGATGAAGTTAACGTTTAAGCAACCTATTTTTCACATGAAGTCAACAGAAGAGAATCATTTGAAACCAAGCATTTGAAGAACAAATAAAATAACCTTTGACATGTACGGTACAGTAGCTATGGTAGTTGGAGACAGTGATACCAAGGACAAAGCAACCTTCTTGCTAACTGAGCCTCCCAATAGTGTATTTCATATCTTGAAATGCACTAGTAGTGAATGAGCTGTAAATCACTATAAGTTTTATAAGTAACAATATGTGGCATTTGATTCCCTTGTGGGACCTTTTCTGATATTAAATAAAATTCGAGCTGCATATCTGGAACTTGGAGCCGGGTAAGACACTTCTGTTGTCAGATGTCTCGCTTGTCTTTAACAGCAGCAACACACTGAATCACAATCAACAGATAGTGACAATTGGCCAGTCACATGTTCAGTTCAATATATATCATTCAGAACTTAGTTAAACATAATAAAGCAATAAATCACATCTTTGGTTGGTTCCAGCAGGCTATTGGTACCAGCAGGCTACCATGCCATGATTAATGTAACCTGGAATTAAATTCTTTAGAAAAAAGTGAAATAAATGGGTAAAAGAGAGAAAGGCACTTGTCTTTGTGTCTGATGGAACAGCCAACTATTCCTCTCTGGAGCTGCAATGCTTCAGTGTCTAGAAAAAAAACTCACTTTACATTTTACATCCACAACAACTCGCATTTATATAGTGCTCTTCACTTTTCTTAGTTGGGTTAAAGTTATCTTATCCATCCACTTGAAGACAAAACGTTTTGTTACCAAAATAATGCTGACTGATGGCAGATTATTTAACTGGACAGGTGATTCAGTTGAGTAGATCTATTTCACGTGTCAAGGTCAAATGAAAGCTGAGCACCTGAAGCCAGAATTTTTTATTAATATGTTATTCTTTCCAAGGTATTGCAAATGTAAAGCAAACTACTCTAGTCTTCAGTGGATGATGTAGGTTCTTCTGTAGAAGGAAGGAAAATATTCCTGCCTCCCCCACCCCCCACTCCACAATTATATCTTATTCTAGCATCTTATTACATTTCAAATGATCTTCAGCAGTATTCAGACAAGGTAATATTACTACTGAAAACAAGTCTCTGAAACATTCAGTCTCAAACTGATTGGTTAAAGCAACACGTCTGTGGCGACAGTTAAAATCAACTGCTGTATATGGACTTCTTATTGATCTAACCTGCTTTTGCTGAGAAAGTGGTTATCTCAGTGTTGCCCACGCATCTGGTAAAAATGGTCAGTGCCACATATAGTAACTATAATTTCTGCTGTCATAAAAAACACTGAGCGAAATAAGTGCACAGCTGCAGTGTTTTAGGTTGTTTCATAAATGTCTCCATACAATTCTGATAACTTCTGAGGATCGCTGTAATTTAATGAAAACAATTCCTCGTTAAGTGTTCTACAATGTGCAGTTCATGGAGCTGCTGTTTTTCAGGTACAGAACTTTCATTACTGTAGTCGTGTTTGGTATATCATTAAAGTCTAGGTGAACTGACATTGCATATCAAGAATAATTATTCTCTGAAGGTACGTTTCATGTTTTCTTTATCCAAACATCCAGAAACAACTATGATCTTGATTTCGAACAGTAGAAACGCCTGAAAGTCCCAGGAAGCAACAAACAATTCAATTGTAGTTTTCAGTGCTTTCAGTGTTAATATATCAATAATTGTTTGCTCTTTCCTCCCATTGTTTGCTAGATTTTTTAAAAACAATTAATGGGGAGAAATTACAACTGGATCTAGATTTACTCTATTAGCATATTATCTTTTCCATCCACTTGAAGACGAAACTTAGAGCTTCCAAAAATTATCAACTTCTTAAATGCAGCCTCAACTTTCTATAAATTATCTTCAGTGCAGAATAGAATCAAGTTAAGAGTTAAGACTGAATTAAGCAATTTGTCAAATTGTGGGCGCTGTAAAATGCTACATTAATAGAGTAAATGTAGACAAGGGTGGAATTTCTGCACAAAAATAAACTTTACAGCAAGACTATACAAAGACAAATATTCACAGTTGATGTCTGTCACTGGGTTAATTTCAGCTTTGGTTGAAATATTCCTTTGACTGATTGATATTCACATCAGGCTTAGC